ACAACGTTCCTAATGCGGTCAGACAGATATCTGCAGAACTGTTGTTTCTAGCAGAAAATTTAACTAGATAAATGCTGCACCGCGTTCAGGTGATTAATGGAAGCGCACATATAGACAAATTCTCCCAGAAATAAGATAAAAACGATAGTTATAAGCAAAACTAACAAGTTATACAATTGAAGCAAGGAATTTGGTGGATTTGACACTCCAGATAAAGCTTTTGGTCATTCAAACTTTCTTGTGAACAATTCGGGAAAAATAACAGTGTGAGGTAACTTTTACAAATATAAATATATATATATATATATATATATATATATATATATATATATATATATATATATATATATATATATATATATATTGGGCTGTTGGGAATAGGTGGTATTGAGGGGCGTTGGATGGTGGAGGGGTGTCGCGGACGAAGGACGAAAGTGAAGAGCAGGAGGTTGTCGTGGATGAAAGTGAAGAGGGTTGGGCAGTCGCGGAAGAAAGTGAACGGGTAGAAGAGCGGTTGGGTAAAATGAGCATCCGGCATGTTCCGGCACAAATTAAGCCCTGTATAATGCTAAAAGGCATGTTCAGTTTTCCCATAAACAGTTAAAAGTGACCATGGCAAAATTAAAAAATAAGACAAAAACAAATAAGACTTTTTCCAGAAGAAAAAATATTATCAGACATACGGTGAAAAAAGTAATGAATCTGTTTAAACATCATAGTAAATATTTAAAAAAGAAAAATAAATCAAAGGAGGGCTAATAAATCTGACTACAACTGCATACACACACTTCCTGAGCTATGAGTAAGATTGTGGGCATACAGTACATTAAGAATTTGATCACTTGAATTTGAAGAAATCTCTCGTTTGATTAAATCAAAGCCATTATTTACTTTTTTTTGTTCAATCTTTTTGTTTCATGTCAATTTAATAAACTGTGGCCGCCAATAAAGAATTAATACCCATGATGACCTATTCATTTTAATCCCTCCTTTAAGTAAACCACAGCACCAAATTTGTCATCTGTTCACTAGTTTAACTCAAATAAAAAAAATCATTCTTTCATTTTTTTAGTTCACTATGCATCCAAAATTTACTACCTTGTTCACTCAATTCATTAAACTGTGCTACAAATAAAGAATACATTCCCACAACTTATCTTTGGGTGACACTGTAGCTCAGTGGTAAGAACAGCAAGAAGGTCGCTGGTTCGAGTCCTGGCTGGGCCAGCTGGCATTTCTGTGTTCGCATGTTCTCCCCGTGTTTGTGTGGGTTTCTTCCAGGTGCTCTTTCCCCCCCACAGTCCAAAGACATGTGCTGTAGGTAAATTTATTAAAGATAATTGGATGTAGTGTATGAGTGTGTTTTAAAGTGATAGTTCACCCCCCCCCCCCCCCCCCAAAATGAATATTTCATCATGATGTTTCTAAACTTTAATGAATTTCTTTCTTCCTCAAGAACACAACATGTATTCTGAAGAATGTTGAGAAAAAAGCAGCCATTGATATCAAAAGTAGAAACAAAAAAAATATGAAAGTCAATGGCTGGTTTCCCCCCAACATATTTCAGTAGATTTTAGAAAGAAAAAAAACTCAGACAGGTTTTGAAAAAGTGTAGGAAATATGACAAAATATTAATGTTTGGGTGAACTATCCTTTTAAATGTTCTTCCACACAGCAGTACTTACTACTTTTCCCCTGAAAACTGCAGAAAATGAGATATGGGGGTATAGTGACACATTTTCCCAAAGATTCTTGAGAAAAAAATTGAAAAGATTTCAAGTTTTTATAAATAATTTACTTAAAATATATAGATATACCATATATACACTGTTCAGATGTCTAACAAGCAACACACTATGTGAGGGTTTGTAAAAGTGGGATCCAGGTGGGCCCAAGATGGCTGTCATATTGAATATAGTGGGAATAAGCAGTCCTGTGCTTTCACCAGTCAATATTTCAAAGCTTCAGGTAGATTTCTTTCAAACACACACACACTCACACAGAAATATCTCATCTGGGCTCGGTGGGACTGTTTCACACTCTGCCTCGCTCACACACACATTACAATAACACCATTTCTCAATTTCCTCTCCCACTTGTTCCTTCTTATGTAACATGACTGACACACTGTTGCTTTGTGTTGCCACTTCTTCCCAATCTTTCCTTTCTTTTTTTTTTTTAAATGCATGAATCAGATCCCTAGCCAAAGATCTAAACTTTTCATTAGTTTCAATGGCTGCTTGTCTCTTGATTGCAATGTCAAGTTCCTGCTTCGTCACTCATAACTGGATAAAGGGTCTGCTCATTTTCTGCCTCCATCTAAATAAAATTCTTTGTAAGACCCCAGTGAGCTTGCTTGCTGTCTCCAGCCTGTATTTCTGTATTTGAAGCATGCTATAGTGGTAGTTTGAAGATTTTGGTGTGCTCGGCGTAGGCAGAAAGTTGAAAAGAATGCATGGAGTCTATCGGAGACTCTGACTTTGATTTCACTGGATTTAAATTGATTTTGACAATTTGGGACTAGCATGCTGCTACGCTGACTTTAAATGCTGAATGAATCATACTGTTTTCTTGCTTTGTCCATCAGCCTCAATGTATTTTCAGATTGCCTTCTCTGTGAATGATAAATCAGAGCTCAACAGTAAGGTTTTTTCTTTCTTTTCGCTGTAGTTAGGTCTGTAGTTCATACTATTTCTCCCGCCATGTTTAAACTACTCAATATACATAAATGCACACAACCACATACAATTTTATATTTACTTTTGTATTTAATTTATTTGTTTAAATATAATATAAACGTATACTTTCTGTTTTAAAATATATTATTTATTATTAATATTAATGTTGTCGTCACATACATACAATCGTGTATGAAAATAAAATAAATAATGTATTTGTAATTAATGTAATGTTTGGTGTTTGTTATTGCTACTTATTCAAAATGAGCTGAAACACAATTCTTTAGCGTTTTTTTTTTTTTTTTTGCAACAACTTAATAGTTTTATGTTCAATCCACATACATTTATTTTTATTTACTTAATTCCTTCATGTTGTCCCAACACAAATCAATTGTGTGGAGCCCAGCATTTTTGTAGTAAATTAAGAAGAAGTGTCAATAATATCTGGAAATTATAAAGTTATTAAACAGTAAATGGCAAAACAACCATAAATAACGTTGTAAACACTTCTGGATTAAAATAAAACTACACTTTATTAAACTTTAAAAATTATTTGTTGACTTAAAAAAATTGAGTAGACCTACCTTGCAAATGTTAAGTTAGCTTAACTTATTTTTTTTATAATTATGCATATAAGCTAATTTACCTAATCATATTAAAGCTACAGGTTTACTCACTTTTTTAAGCAATGTCAATTAATCACTTTAAACAGGTTTACATAATTTTAATAATTGAGGTCAACTAATTGATCTTTAAAGTGTAAATACATTTAATTTTATAGTAAAAACATGGAGTCTGTGATCTTAATCCTTTCGTTTAAAATATTTGTTTGCCTGGTCAGTGTTTTTCTGGGTTTTCTTTCGTTTGATGTTGTAATGGGCTATCTCATATTTGAACCAATCAGATTCAAGCTTGACCGACCCATAATATAATACTGTAAGAAAACTACTCTTTTTTTTTTCTAATCAAATACTGTCAAATGAAGGATCTTTCATACACAAATGTTTTATTTTTTTTGCTTGTTCAAACTTCTTAATTAAAATGAGTGGAAACAACACAACTCTTAAGATTTCCCTGGGACAACTTGTTATGTTCAATTCACATAAATTTGTTAAAAGTGTTAAGTTAACTTAATCGGTTTGTGTTGGGTCAACATGAATGAATTATGTGGAACCTAGCATTTTTTTACTGTGTACGATGGCAATAGCTATGTTTCCATTCAAAAATGCAAATTAAATTTATGCGCAAAACTGGAATATGACATAAAAGACGTGTTTTCATCCAATGAGTCAAAGAGAACAAAACTGTCACTTCTTGATTATTTGGTGCCAAATATCAAAAGTAAAGACGGAATTTGCTATATTAAGAGAAGCTAAGTGTATTGTTTCTTCATTTAATAATTTACTTGCACCTTAGAAGACAACGCAGACATGCAATGAATGCGAGGTAGCGTTTGAAGGCGTGAGACATGAAGCACAGACGCACTTGACTATTCTGGAGGTAATAATGATATTATAACACTCATACTGAAATAGTTAAGGCAGTTTAGAATGACCAAAACAACATTTCAGATGTTTTACAATACATTCAGCCTGCTGGTTTGACTAATCACACATTATTTTTATCATCACATGACATTTTTAATGCGCATATTCTGGAATTTGTTATTTTTTTCTTATTGAATCAAAAGCTTATCCTACTCAGTTATGAGTATAATTTTTTAATGTGCATTTACAAAATGTATGTGCATCATGACGTTATCATCAACCAATTTGTTATGCGCATATCCAAAAAGCGCATAAAAATAGGTGAATGGAAACATAGCTAATGATACTCTTCAAAATAACAGATCCTCTATGATCAAGCACAGCATGACAAAGCATTGTTTTTTTCTCCAGTTTGCTCATTTTGAAAATTGTGATATGTCGCTTAATTAGCACTAATGCACCGAAAGTGATCAATTACTTCACGTTTGGTTTGAAAACATCATTCATCTGCAATATTCTTACATTTAAATCATCATACTTAGTGTGAAATGGCCTTCAGAAAGCGTAACATACTACTTTGAAAGATGTAAAGTGCCGTCCTTACTGTTGAGCCCTGATACATGTTTTCTGCACCTGGAGATATCTTCAAATAGCAAGAGCCTATACTGTCTCTGCAGGCTGCACACTAGTAACCATCTCTGAAGATTCCAGCATTTCTGTCCTAATGACTGATAGCCATGGTTTAATAATTACAGCATGATGCAAAAAAAACTGCAAAACAATAATCAGAAAAAAATGAATCAGGCTGACTAGTTTAAAAAAAGACAATGACAGATGTTGTAGCAGTTCTGCTTACTGAAGCACTTTAGTTCAGGTCTCTATGGGTCAGTTTGTCACTGTTTACTGGAATCAGTGGTTGTATCCACCTCTTAAACGTTTTAATATATATATATTTAAACACATTTGATCAATTTCTTATAAAATAGCTATGAATTAAAAAAGAAAAACAATGATGATTTCCATGACGTTCACGCAAACTCTCACACCAGGATAACAGTATTGTGCATCAAAAACAATACACAGATCCGAGCTTGATAAAGAGTCTCTTGGGGTCAGGTGACCAAATTTCATTATAGGATCTCACATAGAATAAGCCAACTGAAAAGATGGCCCAATCTTCCAGAACAGACTCAACTGCTCTATCCTGGCATTTGCCATCTAAAAGGTCAAGATGGGGTTGATCCACACGGGATGGCCTTTCAAACAGCGACTGGTTTCAAAACATCACAGAGGAGGATGAGACGAAGTGCGCCATGGATCAAGATTCTGGGAGGTTAATCATGGCAAGACGTGTTGCGGATCCATCCCAATGCTCTTTAATCACGGGGTCCTACAGAGCCACATTGAACTCTGTGATCAAGAAGTCAATGTAGTCCTTCTCTTTGGTTTTAAAGGCCTCGGCGATGAGACGTGCCGCTTCCCGATGCTCCTTTCCTCTGAGGGACACTCCATTCACCTCTAGGATTACCTGACCCACCTTTAGCTGTCCACAGTTGTGAGCTGAACCGCCTCTCTGTGGAAAACAGATTTAGAGAAAATATTAAAGTAATAAAGAAGAAATCGTAACAAAACACCCGAAGGAGGTGTTTATAAGACTCTTGTCACATCTTTACAATCATGATGAATGAAGGAGATTTTTACGCATGCTTATGACAACTGCCATAAAGTGTCATTTACTTTTTCATTATAAATGCAAAGATGAGAATGTTTGAAATGATGACAACTTGACATCACTGAATCAATCATAACCTGTCTTTGTTATGACAACTGGGCATTAGCAAGACAACCTGACTTGTCATAAATCTGTCATAAACATAATCGTCTTGAAGCATTATAAGTGTGGCTTGAATGTCACTTTTACAGTGGAACAAAATGCATTTGTCTTTAAAAATTCTCATAAAATGTGTAATTAATCTGTCAAATAATTTTATAACAGCGTCATCAATATGACATTTAATGGTATTTTGTTGACAAATTCATTTTGTTATACTGTAATTGAGGTTAAGAAAAATATTAATAATGCTGTTATTGCAACAGTAGGACGCTGGGTGACAACGTAGTTGAGGATCCAAACGCAGTTTCTTTGATAGCTTAATCAGGCAGGCAATGGTCAAACAGGAACAAACAGATACACAAGAGAATCTAAAATCGTAGTTGTGGTCACAGACAAAATGGTTAAAACAGCCAGCAAAACAACATACATGAGAAAACAAGGCAAAGGTTAAAAGCACGGCAAGACTAGACAAGAGAATTTTTAGGAATGTTAGAACAAACAAACACAACTCAGCAACGAGTGCATTGAGAGGTAAATATATAGGCCAGATAATCAGTCCATGATGAGTTACCAGCTTTGTGTGTACTGGAACAGGAACTGGTGTGTGTGTGTGAAGTGTATAATGGGATTTGAAGTCCAGTTCCATGACAGATTTGTAGTTCTCCAGTGATCTGCAACTGCTGGATCGTTGGTGATTGTGACAGTTATTCATGACACATTTATAATGGCCTCTTAGCAATCATGTTTATGACAGATTTATGACTTATTAACAATTTATCATGACAAAGAATGACAGGCCATAATATTTTTTTATGTCATGTTGTCATGACAAAGACATCTCAAATAATGTCACCTTTGCATTTAAAATAAGTAGTGTAAAAAAATACATTAGTATTACACTCAGTATTAAGTTGAAAATTCTTCCTAGAATAAAAACTGACAAATTGTTTTCATGTTTAAATCAGACTGGCTACAGTACTTTCACACAGAAGTAGAATACATCAGAGTGGTTTTGGTGCTAAAGGTAGTTAACATTTACACATTGCTAAGTATTTAGAACATATGTTTGTTATAAATCAATAGTAAATGTATGTTTAAGTAAAAACGATCTGAAAATCAGCCTGGAATGGACGATAAATACAGTTACATACACGTGCATGGTTTTAGAGGATTTTTTAATCTGCCTCTGAACAGAGTCATATTCCCAATAGGTAAAATCCAAATTTACATTGAACACGTGCCATTCGTTTAAATTCAACAGGGAAATCAGAGAAGGATGTAATCAACTAAGTTGAAAATGAAAAGGTATCAATTCATCACTGAGTGGTCCCAAGTGGAGATCTGATTGATAGTTTGCTGAAAACCCAGTTTTAATCACATTAGAGTTTTGGGATATTGTTCAGCTCTGAAATTGACTTGTTAATTTAGCAAGATAACGTTATGTAAAAGCTGAAATGGATACTAAGCATATTTTTCATACTGTAGAGTTAGACTGCTCTCTCCACTTCAGTCTGGTCAGGAAGAATCCTTGAGTCCTGAGTCCTTTAAGCTTGTTTGAAGCCTACAGAACCTAAAGGAACCTCCAGAAAGTTTGACACCCAGGGATTTATGCAGTTTTTGTTATTTAATTATTTTGAATTAACTGAAACAAAGCTGAATATATTCTGTGAAAAAAACACAACCTTAATAATCTTAAATTGGCAACTAAGCTGACTGATATTCAGTAAAATAAGCTTAAACTGAGGTAGGGTTGTTAGAAGTAACCAAATGGAAATCATTTTCACTTGGTTTAACCCAATATACTAAAATAACTAAAACTAAAATGGAAAAAATGTGGCTTTCGCAGATATTAGTAGTCTATCAGTAACAGCAGATGTCACCCCCAGAATTTACAATTTATGACTTCTCAGAATCCAGAATCCCAATTAAACCCCTTTAATCTTGAAACTACAGATCATGAGTCAGCTTGCTGGAGAGCCTGACAGCACTTATGCAATAGGATGCATTTACTAATGGAGGCTAAAATGCAAGAGTCACCCACTTAGATCTCCGCAGAACCCCGTCTTCTTTCATTCAGCGGCTGAAAATGATCGAAAACAAAAGCACTCCACATTATCTAATCCATGGCCGCTTTTGTTGTTGGATTTTCATTATGACGCTGATGAACCGACCGCAGCCAGGGAATTAAAAGCCACTCATGCCTGTCCATTTCTCTGGTCGCACTTTCTCTGTCTCACAATCACTTTCATTTGCTTTCTTTCTTTCCAGCTTACTCTCAGCATCTCTGTTTGGGCTCGGTCTCTCCTGTTCTCCTGCTTTGGCTCTTTTAGTCTTTTATTCAGAAGCTGCTGATTTGCTGGTAAATCAATGCTAATCAGCAACACTGTTATTTTAGTTTTGTCTTTTACAGTCGAAGCTTAGAAAGCACACCATTTCTTCTCTAGAGCGGGCAGACACAGAAACACAGAGAGCCTTTCATATAGCATCAATTGTACGGACATTTCTATTGCCTGTTTGGTAACACTTTCTATGAAACCTGTATTTAAAATGTATTGTTAAAGGGGTCGTATTATGCTTTTACACTTTTTGTATATTTGTAATTATTATAATGTAATGTAACTGATGTAGGTGGCCTCACAGCAAGAAAGTTGATGGTTCGAGTCCCGGCTGCATGGGCCAGTTGGCATTTCTGTGTGGAGTTTGCATGGGTTTCCTCTGGGTGCTTTAGTTTCCCCTACAGTCCAAAGACTAAACACTACTTGACAAAAGTCTTTTCGCCTATTCAAGTTTTATCAACAACAAATAATAACTTGACTTCTAGTTGATCATTTGGTATCAGAAGTGGCTTATATGAAAGGCAAAGACCTCTAGATTACGCTTATTTTACCAAAATAAATATGATCATGCCTTGATTTAATTATTTAATTAGTACAGTAAGGTTTGACTTTGCTTAGACAAAAGTCTTGTCACTAGAAATAATGTTCAGTATGGAACATAAGATCATGGTGCAGTGGGAATAGAATTAATATTGTTTATGACTTCCATGGGATTGGACAACTGCATTCATACATCTCTGCAATGACTCAAATAACTTATTAATAAAGTCATCTGGAACAGCAAAGAAAGGGTTCTTGCAGGACTGCAGGATTGCAAGAGTTCATCAATATTCTTTGGATCCATCTCCAAAGCCTCCTTCATCTTACCCCAGACCTCCTCAATAATGTTTATGTCTGGTGACTGGGCTGGCCAATCCTAAAGCACCTCGACCTACTTTACTTTCAGGAACTTAGATGTGGAGTCTGAATGTGTGTGAATAGGTGTGTGAATATGAGAGTTTATAAGTGTTTGCAAGTACTGGGTTGCAGCTAGAAGAGTATCTTCTGCATAAAACATTTAGTGGAATAGTTGGCGGTTCATTCCGCAGTGGCAAACCCTGATAAGTAATAAACTGAGCTGAAGGAAATTTATTGAATGAATGTACAGAAACTGCTGTTATAAATGTTTTTCAGATGTTATTATATTTTGGTGATTTGGCAATTATCATGCTTTACAATGCATTAAAATACCCAAATAATGCATTATAAATACAAAGCTCATAGAAAGTGTCACAGCCTGTTCAGTATAACATCAACAGCTGCCCACAACTGGAGGTCTACATCGTGTACTGTTGTTCTTCAGCACTCATTTAATTCACCAAGGCTGTCGGTGCACTTATAGACCTTTATGTGGCTGACGGCAGGGAGCTCATGATTGGGACTCATTTTATGTCTGTCATTGTCTCAGGCTGCCGTTTCAGACCTGACAAAGGGGTTTGAAATTGTATAATCACCTGTTAAACCTGGCAGTCGCCCAATATGAAAACCACAGGGTACTACTGTGATTCATACTTCGATTCGGTATTGTCTGATGAACTACAACAGGAGAAAATGTGTAGCCTGTCCATATAAAAAGACATTTGCTGTTGAGTTTGCTGTTGCTAAGTGCAATTATAATGTTGCTATGCAATTGCTCTGTGGCAGGTGGTTGCTTACGAACCCTGGTCAAAAGATCCCTAAATATGACTCCAGTTGCTCTCAATTTGCCTTCTTCCAGGTTACAATCAAATCACTTCTGATTTTCAAAAGTCCTAGAAAACATCTCTTCAGTTTTACGGAGCAAAAAATAAATAAATTAATTAATTAAAAAAATAAGCACGGTCCCTTAATGAGAGCTCCGCTCAGCGCAAACTCTCCCGGCTAAACGCAGATTGCGAGGGCTCAAACGGAGAAGTGGTCGTAATGTCGAGCAAAAAAAAAAAGAAAAAGACAGCTGTGAAACATAACCAGCTTTGTCTTTTTGTAGGAAATTCACTTTAGATCTTTTTATTGTAAGAGGTTTTTGAGTTATTGCTGTCTATCGTACTGGTTTTGATTCACCACAATGTAAATATAGCTGCAGCTATGTGACGTTGCGCGACCCACCTTTGTTCACTGTGCGACCCACTAGTGGGTCGCGACCCACAGTTTGAAAACCCATGACGTAGAGTGTTGTTAGGACACAGGGTTACAATGTAACCTGCTCATCTAATGTTTATGTTCTAAATCTTTATATTATGTGCTAATTACACATAATCTGCATCGCAGATTTCAGAGTCTGTTACATTCCACCAGAGGTCGCATTTCGGTCACAGACACATGCTTTGAGAGCCTTCCTGACTGAATCAATGAAATACGTGGTTTTCCAACAAGACAACTCGGGGTGCTGAAATATAATTGGCTAAAGTGGCAATAGGTGGGTTAAAAAAACCAAAACAAAGACAGCCATTCCAGCACGTAACTCATGTTTTCCAGGCAAAATATCTGACTTAAGCATTGTTTTTCAGACAAACAAAAATGTTCACTTAGAATGTTTCTATCTGCAAACATTTTATGGTATTTTTATAACTTAGAAGATTCAAAAACTTACATACAGCACCTTTAAGTGAACACTTCATCCATGCAAGTTAAACCACTAATAAAAAAGGTTGTTTTGGTAATTTAAATTTGGCATTTAAAGTCTGATTATTTTCTTCTGCGCTTGGAGTTGTGGTCTTTCTCTGTTGACGTCATTTTGACAGCTTTAGCCACAACATTCTTAACCACACCTCCCTTATAGCCACGCCCCTACTCAGTATTCCGTGTCAATTGGAAGTACATCAGCATACTTAAAAACTCTTATAGTATTAATAAATAAGCAGTGACATCTATCTACGAAAATCAGTATCACAGTATATTCTAAAACTAAAGACATTTCAAAACATTCACACTCACCTGAATAGTAACGATGCGTGGGAGGGGCTGACGTGTGTTTGCCCCGCCTTCTATCGCGATGCCCAGTGTACTGGCGCTTTTGGCCACTCTCACTAAAGTGGACATCGGCTCCAACAGACCTGGCTGTGGGTAGATTCACAGACCGATTAGAGACAGAATAGGGAAGATGAAGGGAGATAGAAGAGAGACAGGAAAGCAGCAAATCAAAAGAGAGAATGAAAGAGAACAGAGATAGAAAGCAAAGACACATTTGGGCTTTGATGACAGATATTACTTTGGCAAAAATAGGGCCAAAGGAAGTGACTTCTGCCCAACCACTGTGCCCTCAGATAGCACTATTCGCTCCCCAACATAGGAAAGCTGGGCGTATAGCTAAAGGACGGCCAAAAGGAAGAAGGACAGGTCTTGATTCAGCACACTGAGATTGGTTTTTCAGAGAGCTGTTGGATCACTGATATGAGATGAGATGAAGTGGATGAGTCAACAAAGATAAAACAGCGAAGGAAAAAAAAAGAAGGAAATGAAATGTATATAACAAAAAGAAACAAAGTGAAAATTAATTGTTAAAAGTCAAGCACTCTCAGTCACAGGAAACAGATTTATGCGAGCGCTCTCTTCTCTTTCACTCTCATTCACACTTTTAATACCACCTCTCTGTCATTAACTCACACACATCCATCTCTCTCTCTCTTTTTCGGTCTCACCGGTTTGGCAGACGTTTCTCCTCCTCCATGCCCATCCCGAGGGGCTCTGGTGCGAGCGGGACGTGGGCTAGTATCCTTACTGAGACGTCCTGATTCAGGTATGTCCACACCACTGTCCTCGCTGAGTGTCTGGCCACTGTCTGAGAGCTGTGATAACGTTCCTCCTATGAGAAGATAATGATGATAAGTATGTTTACATGCCATTAGAATGGATCTACTGAAAGTATTTGTGTAAACGCGCTACAGTCTCTATCTGTTTGTTGAAGTAAACATGACTGATAATGGGATATTTAAAGGATGAAATATACTTTGAGCATCTCTTTTGTCTTTTATCTACAGTTATAATTGCATTACCCAGACACACAGCAGAGTTTCTGCAGGTTTCACCAAGTAAAGTTTAAGACTTAAGCCCCGGTCAGATCACACGATTTTTATTGTCCGTTACGAAAGTCACGGTCAGATTATGCGATTTTTTTTTCTTGATAAAATCTTCACTTGTTGTGGGTAACAAATGTGCCAGAGTACACGTTCCTTCATGATCAGTCATCCTGTGATATCTACGAAGAGCATAATTTCCCAAAGCAGTTACAAGTGTTTATATAACGATATTTCTACATTTTAAAAAAACTTATTTTAATCTCAATAAACACTGATACTTGCAGACAACGAATAACAACTTTTAAAATATTGAGATATTTTCTAAATATATTTTTTCCTGCCATGGGTTTCTTATTAACCACACCCTTGCCTGAGTTTGCCGCGAGTGAGACGGAGAAAATGAAAGCACATCAGCACAGAGGATAATCATATGCTCAAGACATTATCTTTAAATTAATGACATATTAAAAAAAAAAAAATGCACATATATAGCTGAGATTTGTGATACAATCACAGTGAAGCATAAACCCTTATTTTCCTCAGAGCGAAACAAATCATCCACTTGTATAGTTGAGTAGTGGAGAGGCACAAACAAAAATATAATTGGTATATTTTTCTTGGACAAAAATATCTTCTTGAAATTAATTTCGTTTGCTATAATTTTTATCTTAATTTTAATGTATTTTTTGTTGGTTAGTTATCTACAAGCAAGAATAACGAATAACATCTATGTGATGCGCTTAAAAAAAAAATCCGCTACTATATATGCGCCAAAACACAAATTTCCAAGAGATTGTGTTGGTTTGTTAAATAAAATATTAATCCAGCCTAAATAAAATTGAAGTGACATATTCAGTTTCAGAGAAGCCTTTATTAAACTGTTCTCACTATTAATGACACATTTGAATAAGCTGGAAATTCTTTTGCAATGTATTCGCAGCACAGAACATGTTCTCAGATTACCTCAGAAGAACAAACAATAAACAGCTTAAAACACATTAATGTTTTAAAAAAGGTAGTTAAAGTTTGCATAACCAATCATCTTATCCACACGAGACCCACCCATGGTAAATTTTTATTTGGCTCGCCATCCCATCTGAGAAGAGAGGAAGAATAATGGGGATGGTTTAGAGATTGTCATTTCAAATCTAATGTAACATTTTGTTTGTTTTATTGTTAAAAAGTAACTGAGATTAAATGTTTCAATTAAATTTGGTTTGTTTAGTTTAAATGTGCATACTGTCACCTGATGAATAGAGGACAATGAAACTGTGGTTGAGCAAGTCAAAGGCAAAAGCAGATTCAGCATTATTCAGCATTACACTGTTCACTGCTATACTTTTATTACAATAAGTTATAATTTCAAAAGTAATAAAGGATTAACTATTAGGATTTAGCGTATTTTATTTTTTAAAATTTTTGTTTAATATTCCGAAATAGGTTGAGAAATGACATATGACAAATTGAATGCAATGTTTGGTATATTCACTTTCGGCGCACGGCTCATAATGATATTTGGTTTTTGGCCCTTTATACAAAAACGTTTGGGCAGCCCTGTTTTAGATGAATTGTTGGTTGTAAATTGGGTAGCAGTGGTGCAGTAGGTAGTGCTATTGCCTCACAGCAAGAAGGCCGCTGGGTCGCTGGTTCGATCCTCGCCTCAGTTGGCATTTCTGTGTGGAGTTTGCATTTTCTCCCTGCGTACAGGTGAATTGGGTAGGCTAAACTGTCCGTAGTGTATAAGTGTGTGTGAATGAGTGTTTGTGGATGTTTCCCAGAGATGGGTTGCGGCTGGAAGGGCATCCGCTGTGTAAAAACGTGTTGGAATAGTTGGCGGTTCATTCTGCTGTGGCGACGCCAGATTAATAAAGGGACAAAGTCACAAAAAAATGAATGAATTAAACGATTGGGTAGATTTACATGGACAAAGGAAAATTAAGATCTGTGGAAAGATATTTAAAATCTTATTTCAGTAAATTTAAGATTAAAAACATAAAAATTTAGTTTTTTTTAAATGTAAGACATTGTAAGACTTTTTAAGGGCCAGTGGACACCCTGAATTACAAAAAAAAAAAAGGCTTAAAGGGATAGTTCACCCAAAATTTGATTTTCATTTTTCTTTTGAACATAAAAAAGGGTGCTTTTTATGTTGGAAAGAAACAGGCATTCCCTTTCATAAAATGTTTTTTCCCCCTATAATGACTTCTGATTTCCAACAATCATGTTCAACAGAAGAAGAAGAAAAAAAAACATTTTAATTTTTTTTAGGTGAACTATACAAAACCTTTAAAGATCTCAGATGCATCTGCAAAGTTTAAGCTTAAAATATCTCTAAATATTATTATATTGTGCTGTGAATGCCCTATTTGTTTTTTGTGTATGGGTTTTTCAAATGCAAATGAGCTGCTATTTCCCTTACCCCTTCCAGAAGAGGGCGGGCTTTTACAGCTTGTGCCTCAGTTAAGCTGCGGTCACACTAAAGTTTGAGCTTGCAAAATTTTGTAGTATGGCGCTGCGAAAAGGGGCGGGATTAAACAAGATGATTAGACATTAAAAAAAGCGAGTGATTGGTCTATATTTTAAATTTCTGTCCAGAGAGGTCATGTTTTGATCCTCGATTGGTCTCACATAGTCAACTGATGCGATTTTACAAGTTAGAGTTCTTTAAGCTTGAACTTTGTAACGCAGCGAACTGCGAAACTTGACACACGAGCTTGCATTTCCGGTCTGACGCATTCGTGTGCGTATAAATGGAAGTCTATGGGTGGAAAAGTCTAGTGTGATCGCAGCTTTAATCAACACTATAGGTCTTAAACCCAATTCCTGGAGGGCTGCATCTCTACATAGTTTTGATCCAACCCTTATTAAACACACCAGATCCAACTAATTAAGGTGTTCAAGACTCATCAAAACTGTGCAGAGCTACAGCCCTTCAAGAATTGAGTTTAAGACCTATGCTCAACACCAAACAAAACATATTCTGTCAGTTTAAACTTTCGATTTATAGATTTCTGAACATAAAGATATGAAGTGTGCACACAGAAATTCTCTGTTTTCAGAAAACTATTATTTGAGTATTAAACTTGATGACAACAAACAAGTTCAGAGAATGGTGGTTATACTTGTAAATGCAAACAGTTCTGCCAGAACTCAGATATACATCAGTATATTAGATATATAAAATGAGTTATTTTAGACAAAGACTTAACACAATACTAACAACTCAGCCAATCCCCTCTGGTTGGGAATTATTTAAATGTGAATTATTTTGACGTGTATTCTCTGAGGATAACACATTTGCACAAGTTCTGAAACAGCGTTTACTGCTATGGATATATTGAGTCTACTCCCTTTAGAGTAGACTTTGTGCTTTCTATCTTTGCAGATGTTTTTCATGCTCAAAGCAGCAACATTATGCACTAAAGAATTGAAAGTGTTAGAATGGCCCCTTTAAAGCTGGAATACCCTACACTTTTGGCCAGATTTGCAGTCTGGAGAAGTCAGCTCTAGTTGCTGAAATTCGTTACCTGTCTGGAGATTGTGGTCAGTGGAAGTTGACAGATTTCACTGCAAATTATGCATGATGGACCCAGACTTCTTTTTTTTAGCTTCAGGCTATGATATAATCTAGTCTGAGGTTTGATATGTTGGGCTGATTTTAGTACTTTTAATGTTTTAATTTGTCATATGCTTCCTAGCAGCGAAGCTCAAGAGTTGTTGAGTTTGTTTTGAGCCAATTTTACCTGACATATTGTGCGTGGTATATTTTACATAGTGTTGTGTAGCATATTCCAGCTTTGTATGAGTTACAGTTGGACTGTGTAAAGACAATTAGACAAATTTTAGTTCCTTTTTTATACAAACAAAAATAGTAAGTAAAGTCTAAAGCACTTTAGTATATTTTTTAAAGACAAATTGGTGTTTTAGCCAGATGAGTAGAGTTAAACTATATATATATATATATATATATTTTTTTTTTTTTTTTTTGCTGCTTACACTTTCAGAAATAAAGTTGCACAAGCTGTCCATATAAGTACCTTAAAGATCCATATTATATAATAATACACAGAGGGGCAGATTTAGTTTTTCTTTTCTTGTTCCTTGGTTTTTCTTTTCTTTTTATTTTTCTTTATCTTATTTTCCTGGATTTTATTTCACTCAATCTTCTTTTCTACATTTTATCCTAATGAACCCTCTACATTTTAAAAGATTAGTTTTCCTAAAATAATTTTTCAACTAAAATATATATTTAAAAAATGTATATAAATTTGACTGCTAGACTGCTCCATGATTGGGCATGGTCAAACGTTTGAGCAGATGTACTAACAATGCTTTATTTTATAATATTACTATTACAAAAAATATATCAAATTACTATAATAATATTAAATTTTATTGTAAAATAAATAATATGTAATATTTAAATAATTTTTTATATTTAAAATATATTTTTTATATTTTTAATAAGTAATTGGTTTCACCCTTACAATACAAAATATGATAGAAACCAATTTTATATATAGTTCAAAAATATAAGTTATATTTTTTTGACTGCCTTGGACTAATTTTTGCTGTTTATTTGGATGAAACCCTTACCCAAAGAGCGCTAACATTATTTAAGCTACCCCTCAACACTTTTTGTTAGATTTTGGTAAACCATTGTACTCTTTATGCACTAATGCTAAATTTTAGTCCGTGTAAATCCTGTCATTTTTATCAATTCAGGTATTATTTAGTTTTGTGGACTACAACTGTTTTATTAGTTTAACCTTATTTTGTTCAAATTATTGCAAGTTGCTTTGGACAAACACATCTGGTAAAAGACTAAATGCACCAATACAGCTTTAAAAATGTACTCAAGAGAAAGTAAAAGTAAACATTTTTTAAAACTACTTAGTAAATTACGATTTCTGAGAAAAACTACTCAATTACAGTAATTTGAGTTTTTATAATTTGTTACTTTACACTACTGATTATAACTCAGGATCAAATCCTAGAAGTGGTTATGTTATCCTTGGAACCCAAAAAGAAAGTCAATAAATGATTAAATTTCCATATCTGTCTGAGTGATTCATTTAAAAATGAACATTCCCACTTTTTTTGCAGATAACGATTTTTTTCAGCATTGAATGGCTGAAAATAACTAGATGGGATAAAAACCGACAGCTGGTTAATGATTTATTAAACATCCAGCAGCTGCCGCACAATGCATCAGATCTGGCCAATTCTCACCTCGAACCTGTGGCAGCGGCCGGACCTCGTTCACATCGGGCTCTGCGTTGGGCCTGTGCACCTCCACCATCACAAAATGCTGATTGGACGCTGGGGAGGAAGGGGTGGGTTTATCCGGGCAAGAGGGTGGAGGCAAAGGTGGAGGCGGAGGAGGAGGCGGACCGGGCGGAGCGGGTACATTCGGTGCAGGTGGAGGAATTGGAGATGAGGACTGAGCAGGCTTCGCTTTATTAGGAGACTGAACTCTTGGGAAAGGTCCGATTGGATGCTGACTCACGACTGAGAGCTGAGATGCCGGGACGTCTATTTTGAGGGTGCCAGGAGGAGACATGAAAGCTTTGGGTGCTTTAGGGTGTTTGGACTCTCTGGTGTGGGAACGAGAAGGAGCGGTGAAGTACAGGCCTGATTGGGAAGAGCTGGAAGAGGGACGTTTGCTAAGCGTGGCTTTTCGACTGGGACGCCGCTGGAGCCCTGGGGGAGGAGGAGGTTTAAAGGAAGGAGGAGAATCTGAGGTGGAATGAACCTCATCCTAGGATGAAAGAGGAGAACGTTAGTGATGCCATTCGTTTTTGTGTTATGAAAGGAGATCAGTAAGAGATTCAGTAAGTTATAACACAGTATTTTCACATACACACCCAAACATATAAAACAGGACAAACACTATTGATTTGAGGACAAGAGCGATCTGCTCATTCAGACCAAAAAAAAAAAACAAAGCCAAAAAATAGGGTATGAACAAACTCATGGTGAGCATAAATCAGATGAATGAAGTGTCAAGAAACAGAAATGTGAATAATTTGTGCCTTTTTAGTATATATAAAACTTTGCTTTCACTTGCACCTGTGGAAGCTCCTGATAGAGCTGATAGCGTTTCATCAGATTTCCAACAGGAAACTCTCTCAGAAAAAGCCCAGTCTCTCCCAGCCATCTCTCTTACAACGAGTGACAGCAGCATCATTGCATCTATTGCTCTGTTTCCTTCAAACAACCATCAGCTGTCTGAGCAGTCAAGCCTTTACTACTGTTTGAGACAGAGCTGGGCAGCATGACAGTGTAAAATGTGTCAAACGGGAGCGATTTTTTGCTATACTGTGCTGTTGTAGATAGTACATTCCCATCAATGTGCAGGCCTGCTTTACTAGCGCTATCTTCACTGATTATTAATGTAGGTTATCTACACATAGCAGCAGCAAGAAATATGAAATAATGTATAAATTAAGATTAGGACTGGTCATTTTGATGCATGTGAAGAATTGTTATTTAGTTTTATAATAAGTTGGCCTTAAGCTTGCAAACCAACATTGCAGATTACCGCATTATTGTGGTCAAAACTGTTTATTAAAGTGTGCATGTTTCACTGTGTAGTCTAAATGTGAAGTTAAGAATTTTGATTTATAATGGCAACATAAATCTCAGTAAGTAAAACAAAAGCTTTAGGTCGAGGTAATAAAATGACTGAAATCAAATTAATTATTTTTTTTTATATATAAAACAAGTAATAAATAAAAACTAAAATCACAAAAATTATACAGCTCATAAAACACTATAATTGCAAGTAAAATTATTGTAAAAAATGTTAAATAAAAATTGAAAAGCAAAATTTAAACATACATTTACAATATTTACTAATTGTGCATGTACTTTTGTATGTGTTTTTAGTATAAGAAGTAATAAATTTAAAATAAATGAGATCTTTTTATATCCCGGATACAACATTAGACTTTTGGACATAATTTTAAATAAATATTACAGCTATACTGTTAACTGAAATTAAAATAAAAATAATCAATTTTTAAATACCATTTGCAAGATAAAGATCTAACAATTATTCAATATATACTCAGCGGCCACTTTATTAGTACTGGGTTAAAGCCCTTTTTGCCTTAACTGTCTTAATCCTTCGTGGCATAGATTCAACAAGGCATTGAAAATATTTCTCAGAGATTTTGGTCCATATTGACATGATGGCATCACGCAGTTACTGCAGATTTGTCGGCTACACATCCATGATGCGAATGTTCCGTTTCACCACATCCCAAAGGTGTTCTATTGGATTGAGTTCTGGTGACTGTGGAGGCCATTTAAGTACAGTGAACTCATTGTCATGTTCAAGAAACCAGTCTGAGATGATTTGCGCTTTACGACATGGCGTGGTATCCTGCTGGAAGTGGCCATCAGAAGATGGGTAAAGAGCTGGACATGGTCAGCAACAATACTCAGGTAGGCTGTGGGGTTGACAAGAAAATATCCCCCACACCACTACATCACCACCCACCTGAACCGTTTATACAAGGCAGGATGGATCTATGTTTTTACGTTGTTGACGCAAAATTCTGACCCCAACATCCGAATGTCGCAGAGGAAATGAAGACTCATCAGACCAGGCAACATTTTTCCAATCTTCTATTGTCAAATTTTAGTGAGCCTATGTGAATTGTAGCCTCGGTTTCCTGTTTTTAGCTAACAGGAATGGCACCCGGTGTGGTCTTCTGCTGCTGTAGCACATCCACCTCAAGGTTGGACAAGTTGAGAGATGCTCCTCTCCATACCTCGGTTGCAATGAGTGGTTATTTGAGTAACTGTGGCCTTTCTATAACGCATTTGCACTCACAGAACCACTAGATATTTTTTAGACCATTTTCTGTAAACCCTAGAGACGGTTGTGCATGAAAACCCCAGTAGATCAGCAGTTTCTGAAATATTTAGACCAGCCCGTCTGGCACCAAGAATCATGCCACATTCAAAGTCACTTAAATTACCTTTCTTCTTTATTCTGATGCTCGGTTTGAACGGCAGCAGGTCGACTTGACCATGTCTACATGCCTAAATGCATTTAGTTGCTGTTATGTGATTGGCTGATTAGAAATTTGCGTTAAGGAGCAGTTGTACCTAATAAAGTGGCTGGTGAGTGTATATCATATGCTGTAATCACAGCTATTTTATAAAATATATATATACTCAGTATAATTAAAATTATTTGTTGTTGCTTATTTTGTAATTTATTCACTTTTTATATGCTTGCTAAACTACAAAAATCCCATTATTTTCACACAAAAATGTCTACTTCCACTTAACATTTGGTCATGGTGCCCAGCCCTGTGTGGAGAGTTTCAATATCTGAATTTCACACAAAAGCCATCATCGCACTGGTCATAGTCTGCCGCTGGTCATTTTCAAGGAGTTCAATTCCAGGCCTCATAATGCCCTCCATTTGGCGGCTCGGCAACACTGCCCTTTTCCTCTCTGTTCTCCCTCTTTTCTCATTCCTGCTCTCCTCGAAACTGATGGCTTACCAGAGAGATGTCTGGCAGGGCATTGCTGTGCTCCAGAGACCCCTGTTCCCCGTTATTCTCCGCCACACCGTCGTTCTGGGAGAGAGAAAACCACAACAACATACAATGAACAAATGAGACGCACAGCTGTGTGTTTATCCACTAAACAAATGCTCACTTCAAATTGCAATTTGTCGAGGACCCATTTCACAGAGGGGCATTGAAACACAGTTGCATTTACAGTCCGACATTTCAATCTCATTTTCCATCCAACAAGCATAAAACCACACAGAGAGCAGGAAAAGCGCTGATGTGATGTGTCTGTATAATATGGCTAAACTGTTAATATGCGTTTATATACCGTTTCCAGCCCATTTTGAGTGACCTTAGGTGTGTTATGATGTTATTTAAACTCACATTTAGCCAATTCCAAGCTAATGTGGACTGTGTGCGTTGAATTAGTTGCTTACTTATGATCCATTGGCAACAATGCTTGATGGAGGGCATGTCTTAAGCTTCGCGCTGCTGCGACCATCATAGTGTCGTTAGTCGATCACATTTAGCTTTGATTGGCTAGCATCTGCATGAGTATATTTGCATAAAGCGATCTGATTGGTTGACACCTGCATTGGCACTTGAAAAGTTTAAAGTTTTTCAACTTTTGCAGTGAGCAACAGACCCAACGTGACTATTGAACTCATTCGAACTCAATTCAGTTCCATTCAAAGTCAATGGGAAGTGTTAACATCGATGCCCCATATGATCAAAGCATTAGGTAACACTTTACTTAAAGGGGTGTTCAAAAGATACCTGTCATGAAACCTTTATAATCATGACACGACACATTATGCATGCTTATGACAAATGTCATTAAGTCCAGTAATGTCATTTGAAATGCATTTTAACTATGTCATTGTTTGAAATGCCTTTGTTATGACAACTTGTCATAACCAAATATCAATCCAGATTCATTGGGAATAATGTTACGTTGATTTTTGGTTGATTTTAGGTTGATTTTAGGTTGTGTTGGAAAGTGACCAAAATCCAACATCTGATAGATGCCATAGTGGGAACGTTTACACAACGTCTAGATGTAACATAATTAGATGTTGATATTTGGTTGATTTTCAGTTGATTTTAGGCTGGATGTTGGACATTGACGTTGCCCTGACGTTGGGTTATGACATCTACCAGATATTTATTTCCAAACAAAATCCAAAGTCCCGGTGACCTTGGGATACAACATCAATATGATGCCTTGTTGATGTCCTGTGCCTGCAGGGTTATATCTTTGAACTTTAATAATAAATCTATTAACAACTAAATCTAATATGCTGCGCTTCCCACTTCCTTTATTCAGCCGCAATGACTTCAGGGACTTCTTGAGTGAGTTTGGCGCTCAAGTCTTCATCAATGCGTTCTCGATATTAAGAACACATCCAGGAACTTTCATGCATCCTCCGTTCTTGTGGTCTTAAGTTTTGGAGCTGAACTTTGGCAGTTGAAGATGACATTACATGAGATTGCGAAGACACAAGTTCGCTGAAGAATGCATATTTAGAAACAGTCAGCGTGTTTTTAAAAATTAACTGTCGAGAAAAGCTTTCGTGGCTGCGTCTACCGCAACCACATGTGTTTTTTTTGGGTTTCGTTTAACCGGGTTTGTGAAACCATCATTTGTTGGACTCAAACCCCGGTCTGCTCTGCTCCATCTCCTAAGTCTGGCGCCGTATGTAGCAGGTACTGAGGAATCCAGTCACACTTGAAAAGTCGAACATTCAGAGGTAAGCAATCAGCGGTGCCGGCACATAGCGTTGGTTTTACACACAAAATGCAGCAATATGTACCCGTGACCACATATTTGTCGGATCTCAAATATGTACACCAGGGTACATTTTCCCAATAAGCCTGTGTTGCCAAATACATAGCAACCTGTTTTTAGCAAACAACCTACTTTTTTCTACTAACGCAGTGATAACAATACAATAGCATCAGATGCAGCATTTTGATTTTATAACAACAGGTTAAACTTTCTGCAGAATTTACAGCACTGACATGCATTAAAAAAATTAAACAAAGAATAGACTTGGGTCTATTGGTGTGTGCGCACCATTGCATGCAAGGTTTTTGTATGTATAACTCAGAGGATATTGGGGGTTCGCGAGTCACTGGCAATGTCATTTTGGGGGCTGAAAAGTTTGAGAACCCCTGCACTATTGTATTGAACTGCTCTAAAAACAGTCGGTTATGGTACCACTGGTGTTTCCACGTGAGCCTGGAATGGCGCAGCTTGATTACAAACTGTTCTCTGACTAGAATTCTAGGCACAGTTAGACAACCATGCTGGATTGGTAGGGTGCAAATTAGCATGAAATCTCCACTCTGTTGTCAGGCTGCCAGTTTCTCCATAGCTGGCTAGGTAAAAGCAAACTTATTTATCTATTTATTTATTTGAAGAACATATCAGAAAAAAGGAGTGTCAAAAACAGAAATATCTGATCATTGTCCATAACACTGTTTACATCACATTACCTTACCAAAGTAACAACTGATGCATTCGTAATTACCCTCTTACAAAATCACAGAAATGCTTTAAAATGTGTATTTTTTTTATTCAAAATTTGACTTAATCTCAGGTGGGACATGAGGACAAGGCACAATATATAATAGCTCCTCCCCTTTATAAAAATCAGCCAACAGTGTTTAGTTTTTACCACAGCTCTGCCACTGATAGTGGTGGAGATCAAGCGCATCAAATTTAAAAGCAAATGAGAAGAGCCTTGAAAGGTCGGCACATGTCAGGGAGCATTTGAAAGCGCTGAAGATTTGCTGAGAAACTGAAGTATGAGGCGATGTCAAAAAAAATAGATCCAATTAGAATGTTTGGTCCCACTTTATATTAAGTGTCCTTAACTAATATGTACTTACACAGGAATTAATAGTTTGTTACAATGTACTTATTGTTTAAATACATGTATTTACTGTGTACTTATGCTTGATTAAATACATGTATGTAACTACATCTGTAATTAACTTTTGTAATTAGATTTGTAAATTCACTGTTGACCATCCCTTACACCTTAACCCACCCTTAAACCTACCCATACCACCAAACCTGTCCATAACCCTACCTCTATCCCAACTCAAAAGCACCACAAGTGTTCTCAAATACATTATAAACAGAGTAAGTACATTGTATTTATTTTTTGATGCAAGTACACAGTAAAGGCCACTTAATATAAAGTGGGACCGAATGTTTGTATCAGGTTTTTGTCTTCTGAATACAAATTTTGTCACTGTTTTAAAACATACAAGCTTACGCATATCCTTAAGATTAACATGGTGATCCTAACATTTTTAAACACTTTATTTTAATTACACAGGACTTTTATTGTATTTTCACAGGCCCAAAATATATACCTACATGACATGCATGTACTGTTTGCATGTAATAGCCACTAGACATAATGTAGAGCAATGTTTGTCTTTGCTCTATTTCATGCTTATATCCATCCATGGTGCAATATATTGAAAGCATAAGAAGTAGTTTTTCCTCCATGGGAATGTATTCTGTAATATATACACATAAGAGGGCTGATTTTGTGATGCTGACGGTTCACTGCATTCAGACTAGTGGCCCACCTCATTAAAGCTTGCCTCAACCAAAACAAAAGCCTCATCAATTCACTTCAGTTGCCTGCTCACAGCTTACAAAGAAGCCACTTGTGGACTCATTTGTTTGATGCTGGATCAGCTAATCTTCCTTTGTATGCGTTTTGGCTGTCATCCTTGCAGCTTTTTTGCTGTGTATTTGGATTTCATAGTTCACATATGACACCTTTGTATTTCATGAAATATTTGAAATGATTTGTTTGTAAGAACATTAAAATAATGAAGCAGAATTACTTAAAAGTTTTAAGCAGTGTATCATGAAAAAGCATCATACCTTACTTACAGTAATATACTAAGTGATTAAAAAAGTTTTATGTCCAGAGGAGAAATGATCTAGCCCAACTCAGCCTGGCTTCTCTCAATTATTTTTTTCCTTCACTTTCGTTAATTGGTGAAGTTTGTTCCTCGCCACTTTCGCCACTGGCTTGCTTGGTTTCAGACTTGTGGAGCTGCGCATCGATGGATTTGCTCTTTAGTGTTTAGACTTTCAGCAGTGACAATTAAACCACACTGAACTGAACTATACTATACTGAACTTCAACTCTGAAAACTGGACTGACAGTTTTAATTTACTACAACTTCTATGTTAGGCTGCTTTGGCACAATCTACTTTGTAAAAGCTCTATAGAGAGTCTATAATTCTATTTTCATCATGATACAGCATAAACAGCATAGTCTGATACATGAACAACTGACTTTGATGAAATGGCTATTTTCATAGATTTATTATTATTATTATTACCTTTTATATATAATTTATTTTTTGTTTTATTGTATGATGAGCTCTGCTGTGACATAAATTTCTCTTTGGGATAAATAAAGTTTAAAAATACAAACAAACAAACAAACAACAAACAAACAAACAAACAAACAAACAAAACCCCACTTAGAGTGATTAGTGAACAAAAAAATGCATCAGACTGTTCTTTTTAAATGATAAAAAATATTATTTAAAGTCAGTAGAATTTTTTAAACTAAAAACAAACACCACAACCTCTCCAGTCTGCTTCATGCAGAAATAACTCACATAAATTATTTGTTTTTGGCAAGTGTAATTCAAATCAAATTAATTATCAAATGGTAAAGAAAAAACATAGAAAATTAATGTGAAATATTATTACAAATTAAAAATGAGTTTCTATCTCAGCATATTTTAATACCTAATACTGTATCTAATATGGTGTCACATAATAATAATAATAATTTCTTACATTTATATATCGCTTATCCTCATCCATTGTGTAGCATCCAACTAGATAATGCCACGGCAGCCATATTGCGCCAGACCGCACACCACACACCAGCTGATTTAAGGAGAGGAGCCATGGGGATGATTAGGAAGGCAGTTGGCAATTTTGGCTAGGATGCCGTTGTTATACCTCTACTCTTTTTTTGAAGAACGTCTTGGGATTTGAACCACCACA